GCAAGTCAAATACGACCAAATGTTTATATAATTTAACATTAATGTGAGAGAGAAAAATATATCTATATAACTTTTTATATTTTTAGATATACAATATGTAGATATAGTTACTAAAATTACTAAAATTTATGATTATATATAATAACCATAAATGTAATAAATACATTGATATAAGAAATATATATAAATAAATAGACAACATAATAGATGTCTCCGAAATAAGTCTCGAATAAAAACTTATACGTACGTATATCTAAACCAAAATAAATCAAAATATAAATTTTCTTATGTATACATATACAAATTTAAAAAACGGTAAAATGTTTTAAATTTCCTTGATTTTAACTTTTAATCATGTCTGAAAATTTTTAAACAAGAAAGTATTAAATTAATATTAAATAAAAAGATATATGGCAATTCCTATTTATCAAATAATCTGAAAAAAATTCATAAAAACCATAATTATTTCGTTCAACAGTCCTTAATACAGTTGCAAAGATTTCCTCGAAAGAGACAATCCATTGAATCATATTATTATAGAATCGACATTGAAAACTCATCTGACTCCCAGTTTTTGTTCTATAATCGATTACAAGTTGATCAACTTAACATATAATCATTCGCATTATTCGCATCGTCCGATGCGAAACATGAAAAATAGGGGAATAATTTATCTTTAAGTAAAGCACGACACAAGCCAAGCTGTTAGATCGTTAAAGAAGTTTCATTGATTCTTATTAGTTCTAAAAATTGAAGAAAATATTAAAAAATCTTCAAACGTTTTACATATATTTCAATTTTTTCATTTTAAAAATGTCAATAAATTTCATAGATATAAATCAAAAAATATTGATATTAAGATATTAAAAATTCAGAAGAGTGGAGAATTAATCCCTTAGTTTGTATCTTAATAAGAAGCTTTAATCAACCTTAAACTTTTTAATATTTTTATTTCAATATTCGGACATCCGTATTTTAGAAAGTGTTCCATAAAAATAATCGAATTTGTAACGAAATAAAATATTTGAACGCTTATGTATTACTTTTTTACAAACTCTCGAGTTTAGTATAAAAATCAATAAATCCTAAGACAAAATTCAATAAGGTGTCTTTAACGATCCATTGATCCACGTTGATTTTGATTAGGTGACGTAACAGACAACGAAAAAATCGAGTGCGAAGGCATGCGAGCAAGCAGCATATTTAAAAAAAAACATAGACAGTCCTTTGTTAAAAAGGGAGAACGTTGTTATACATACCCATGGCCACACCATCATCATTTATGTTTTGTTATTTACAACTGTTGTATCACTACAGTGTGAATTATTACAACAATTTTGCCACGCGAGCATCGGACTGGAAAGCGAGCGAATCTCGATCATTCTCATCGTGGATCGAAAATACTCGATACAGTTTGAATTTCTCTGCTTGAGCGGGTGTTAAAAACATGTGACTATATCAAACTGTATCAACTGTTATCAGTCGGCGCGATTCCACGCCGATTTTTTTTCTCTCTCTCTCTTTCTTTCTTTCGTAAACGCGCGTAAACTGCGACAGAAAGTGGGTGAGAGCCTTTGTTTTGCGCAATCGAACATTGGTTATTCATGGAAGCGAACAATCGCATTTGTCTTTCAAGCGCGATTCTAATTGCTGAAGCATCCCCCGAGGATAAAGAAAACGGAATCTTATCTATTATATGAAAATTAACTAGACTGGCTTTGTAAAACGAATATTGGAAATGTTCGAAATACAGAATACAAGGATGTGATGATATTTGGACAGTCAAGAATTTACATAGGTTTCCAATAATCCTATACTAATAAACGTCGCTGACAAGGGAAAGTTTTTAAATGTCAATCGCCAAAAGAATGCCTACATATATTATTTCTTCTTTGAAAAGAAAAATTCAGTACTTATAAGCCCAATCTTTGCGATATAAGCACAAACAATTAAATAATATTTACGAATTTTAGCGAATCATTAGTGTGTTATGTGTATTATTTTGCCAGTACTAACTTTTTTAACAAAACGTTTATTTAGTTTTTCTAATTGTATTTTACAAATACAATTAGAATAACATTTTCAGTTTTAGAATAAATACAACAATAAAATTATAAAATATAATGAAACATATATGATGGACATAAAGTATAAGTTTCAGTCTTGGAACATCGCATGTCCATCTATATTGATTTCACCATCTTTCCCTTTATCATTAAAATTTACAAATTCTGAAAACTCCCAATCTGATATACCCATATTTGTGTATATTTAACATTTATTTATTACTTTATACGCAAAGATTGGGCTTATAAATAGTGAATTTCTCTTTTTGATGATTGAAAGTAGCAATATGTATAGATTTAACATTATTTTACAATTTATACTTCTTATTTATACTACAGTATAACCAGTAGGTACACTTCGTGTCGGCACCTTTGATCTCCTTTTCCGGATCACGTGAGCACCATGTTAAATCCAGAACCGAATTGAGAAAAATGCCTCACAAGTAATAAAACAGATAAGTAATAATATGGATTCGATACAGTAAATCAATAAATTCAATGTGTGAATCGAATAAAATGTTTCATTAGTAACAATTATTCGTAGGAGTGATCACTAAAGAAAATTTCTGATGTAATTGCTTATAAATTGTCTGCACATATGTATGTACGTTCCTATCGTCTTGCATTTCATTGGATCCAACCCAAAACAAAAGTTGCGCAGCGATACCTGCGCGAAGACTCAGTTTTTCGCTGAGTGGACCTACTGGTTATACTGTGATTATACTGTGTTTATACTTGGATTCTTTTCTTATAAGGAAAACAATGAGAGAAACATCTTTAAAAAGAAGTCGAAAGATTCGGAAATTCTAAGGATTTAATGGAAAAAGAATCTTCAGGACATAAGAATTTAAGAGTTTAAGGATCTTAAAAGTCCAAGTCTCTGATACAAAAGTGTTGAGAAGGAACCTTAGAATCAGAATATAAAAATTCTTTTACGAAACGAATACAAATGGAACCTCAGCAGGGAAAGAAACTTTCACACGTCGAGAGACGAAGAAATGCGAAACGGCGCGAAACATCTTCGCATGGGGATACTTCAGCAATGCAAGGTACGGCTCCGTTCGTTGAGCGACCGTTGGATATCTTGAATAGACACAGGCAACAAAACATCGAGGCAAAAAAAAGTTTCGCAAACAAGATTCGCAAATAATAACGGTTGATAACAGCTTGCCTGAGCGGATTCCTATAATGTGCTCCTACGGTGTCTGCCGTGGTGTACAGGTGCTGTAATCACAGAACACACTGACGTAGGACGCCTCTACTATCTATAGGGTTTAGAACTGTATCTTTAGGATGAGTATCGGACTTCGACATAACGATTATGATTATACGAGGGAAGGGGGGGGGGAAAGGGCGGTGCAGTGAGAAGAGATTCGAAAATGCTGTGGCGTATTTCTTCGATCAATCCTCTTCGCGAATTCTCTTTTTTCCTTGCGCGTACGTAGAAAAATTCCACGCTGAGCACAATTTCAGTTTTGCGCGAAAACCGAGTCTTTAATACGATATTTATCGTAGATTTGGATAATCGTGACGTTGTAGAGTTCTCTTGTAACAGATAGATGTATGTTACATAGTAATTTTTATGGTAATCAGAATCTAATTTCCCAACAAATTCGATTTTAAGATGTTACACAAGAATAACTCTCAACGACTCGATTTTCCGAAGATTTAATTTTTCAAGTATGTTTTTAACTTGTTGGAAACTTGCACGTAAAAAAAATTTACTATAAATAAACATATAATTTATTATGTTGTAACGATAATACTGAAAATTTGCATATAAAAAAATTCTCTGTAAATGTATAATAGTATTGTATTATAAATATAATAAAGACCGTGTTAAATACTCGACTTATTCTTGATTCTGTGGTTCTAATATGCGTTCACGAGTACATTTAAGAATATTTCAATGGGTTATTTCGTTTATTTGGCTGCACATTTCCTGACTTACTTTTGATCCTCGGATTACTGATAAAACCATCTAAATCTCGTTGCGTATTTATTCATTTTCTATAGCAAATGCCGCTAATAAGCAATTTTGAAAACCGTTAAAGTATAACAACAAATTACAAAATAGCTTATGTAAAATGTAAAATTAATATGAATCGAAGACAAAAAAAAGTATAAAGCTATATTTGTTGTTAAGAAAAATTGTCAACAAGAAAGAGATATTGTATATACATTCGTGTCAATAATATGAGGATCAGCGTTAGTGACTGAGCCACCATTGCGAAGTGCAATAGTGCATCGGATTCATATTCGGCAACACAAACTGTATAGGCATGCGACGTTATATACTCATGATGATTCTCGGTCACGTGGAGATTGAAATGCAGAGCGTGGTGATTCAAAGTTGTACATCCTGCTGGATTAAATCTGATGGATCTTGAGGGTATAAATCCAAGACAAAGGCGTAAGAGAGATGTAATAAATAAAATAAATCCATTATAAAAATGTATAACTGATTCGTGTATAACTTTTAAGAGATATTAGCTTACAATAAGTATTGGAGAACGTTGGAAAAAAGCGACAAAACTTTGGAAACAATTTAAACGTGGAAAAACCTAAAAGAAACCTCTTGTCATAAATAAGAGGTGAAGCGAAATGCTAAAAAAAACACTGAAGAGGAGGAAATTAAACAATTCAATTTTAAGAGTTTTGATAAATGTCAGTTGTGGATGTACAATGTTTCAGTTCAATCGCAAAATATTTTTGAGTATGAACTACTGTAAAGTGAAAGAATTTTCTTAGAGTACAATGGTTTTAAAGAACTACATAGGACAACATTTGCCAGTTTTCATCGAACGGAGAAAAAATCTAAACTTCAATAAAGGGCTGAAAGATCGTGTGATTTTAACATCTGTTTATCTTTTAGGACGTCTTCGGGAGTCGCCACGCTCTGCATTAAATGTACATACGCCACACATTAATTACCCGAGCTTGAGAGCCTGGCCGCCGGCGCGGAGGCCCTCCTCACCCAACAGAGTGACTTGCTCTTCTTCACGGCTGGGGTCTGCCATCTGCGACACGACACCTCCATGCTCAGCCTGGCAACAGACACAGGTCACCCCTCTTTCGCCCTACCTCCCGTTCCACTCGTTCATACCAGACCCTCTTTCCTTCTCTCTGTTTCAAAATTTTCTTCAACTCACCGACATCGAAGAAGAAGAAGAAGAAGAAGAAGGAGAGATCTCTTCACGAACTCGCGTAGTTTTTAGCTCAATGCTAGGTTTAAATTCGTGACGCTTAGCCGTGAGAGAATGAAGAAAAATAGGGCTCCAAAAATTTTATTAAAAGATTTTAAAAGTCGCGAGGAATTTAAATAAAAATCCTACAAAATTTATAAAATAGTTTCACGAAAGCAATTTTCTAAACACACAAGATACTAAATATGTCAAATATTTTCAGGATTTTAAAATAAATATAAAAATTAAATTCCTAAATATTCAAACTTTTCAGAATCTAAATTTGAACTCAGAAAGTCAGTATCAAATGTATAAAATCAAGATGTAAGATTTAAGAAATATACAGATGCAAGAATTTAAGTTCATATAATAGGGAAGCATCACGAATTATACATATAAAATTCATGCAGCCTTATCATTTTTCTAGCTCTACAATTAATAATTAAAATGTTGTGCTGACTACTAATTGCAATTATAATAATTATAATAACTAAAATAAATTAATTAAAATGAAAACATACATCAAATACAATTAAATTATAATCTTGCTACACATGCTACATGCAAAGAATTTCATTCATTAATTCAGTAAAAGCCGTGATTATTTTCTCAAAGTATGTTTCTAAATTGAAACATAATATTTAAAGTAGTAGTAAAATACAACTAGTATTCAAATTGTAATTATTAAAAATTTATTTAAAAAAATCATACGTAGTAATAATTGATATAATTATAATAATTTTCATAGAATTTTCATTAATCAGAAAATAATAATTAGTACTAGTGTACTAGTATTATTAAATAGTAATTATTAATAATTCTAAATGATTTACGTTGATATTGTATACATTTTAATAATTTTCTTAATAAAGAAAATTATGAGAAAAATTTTATTTAAAATATCAAAATTTTATAAATTTAAATATAAATTTTACACATTTATAATTATTTTTACAAATATCTAACATTAGCGTACAAATACGTTTGAATAAAAAAGATGGCCTTTAAAGAATTAATATAAAATACACAAACTCTAAATGATGCATGTTGAACAAATTGCAACACAACGTTGCAGACATTAGTACAATTCATGCAGATTGCCATTAATTCATTATTAATTATGCAAGGTTTCATGCTTTGCGCCTACGATTAGCTCGCATGTGGGAGTTTCCTGTGGTTTTTTACTAATCTTATAGTAACCTTACGTTAATTTCAACAAAATTTCAATATTGTTGTATTTAATTTTGTGTAGTGTTCTGTATGTGTCTATTACTAATTATTCATGTTTCTATTATTAGATATCATATTTCTATATTGTACATCTATAATACATTTCTATTGTTTTTTTTTGCCACTGAAAGAACTCTATTTGCTCCTATTTTAGGGAGAGTGATTTAAAACATTTAAGTAATTTTGTTATAAAAAAGTATTATGTATATTCAAGAAATCATTTAAAATTACTAGATAATTATTGCGTGTGAATATCTTGTTAAGTAAGTATAACACGTGCAAACATGTTTGTTTCCCAAACATGCATTTCACACGAATAATACATGAGCTTTATTCTTACGTAAAAAAGAAAAATTAAAATTAATGGAACAAAATGGAAAGAACAGAAGAGTAAAAAAATACGTAACATTACTACACTAGAAAAGAAAAATAATGTTAATAGACTAAAATAAAAGAAATGACATAATGAAAACTTGAATGAGAGAATACTGAAAGATATTAAATATAAAAGTAAACTAAAATTAAGATTTTTCAGAGTATTATGTAAATAATTAAACTACCACAATCAATGGCTGCATTTTAAAAAGATACATTTACAAACTAAGGAAACGGTTCTCAATTCATGTACAGAGATGCCGGTACAAAAAGAACAACAATATACAGTCTCTCTTGGTTACTACACACGATATAAGTAAACCAATAACAAGGTAATCTCTCCAAACTACGATCAAACGTTAAACACAATTGAATGTGTATAATAAATCCGTACGAAATCGCGACGATACTGGACAATTCTCAAGGGACGTAAAGGGAGACAGGGCGGAGCGAGTGACTTGTGTCCTTTGCAGCAGTGGCTTTTGGTTAGTTGGCAACACTAACACATTAATAATCCTAAAATCACTTCAACAATATATGATTAGTAACAGTACAAAACGAGGACATTCTGATGTCTGACAATTCATTAGAGCGGTAGTGCTCGCCACTCTTCCCATCAGTCTTATCTCATTTCGTTTCTTTCTAAAGCAACTCCGCCGTATTTGCATTAAAGTTGCACAAGCGCAAAGACAGGCCTCTGCGGTATATCTATTATAATTTGCACAGTCTCCAGCTTTTCATGCATTTCAGAGAAAATTTGGCGCAAACTCATTGCTTTTTCTCTGTTTCTCTTTCAAATGCGGCAATCAATCCCTCAATTAATAATTCAATTTTCCTTCTTCGTGATATTGCAAGATATTGTCACTTCAACAAGATCTCCTCGTACAAAAGTCTTTCAAGTTTTTATAAAGATACATAGATTTTTTTTATGCTAAACAACTTATGCCATACGGTAGAAGCATAAAGCAGATCTATGAAGAAATCCCATTAAAGTGATAATACGTTTCACACTGAAGCGCATATTAAAACTAATCTCTATATTAGAGAAAAAACACGCGGCGTTGGCACGCTAACTGATTTACGGAAATGTAAGCCAAACAAGTATATAAGGCTGTAAGTTGCAAGACATTAACTTTTGTATAATACAACATCTTGCTTCTTTTGCATGAAAATGTAATTGTAGCAAACAGAGTGGAATAAATTCTCCCGTTCAATGACGAGTGCCTTGTAAGCCAAATAAATTGCGCCTTGTACTAAAGTATTCGACTGCTGAGAAAGAATTCTTATATGTTCGTCGACTCGACATTCATAACAAGTGACAACACCAGTTGCTGATATTTACAGCCCATTGCAAGAGTCCTCCCCAACAAGATTCACATCCAAATTTTACAGAGAAAACGAACGACAGGACTAAAAACCAGACACAATTTACACATCCACTTTTTACAATTTCCATGGACAATTTCCGTTTCATTCCTCGTCATTCCTCCGTTCTGATAGAACACAGATCTAGAAACTGCCCTCGACAGTTTGCAATGCATCAGAAGGTAAATTTGCTCAATTTTTTTTATGCATTATGTCCCAAATCATCGAACCGAGAAGAATCAATGTGATCGTTGACAGGCAACTTACCTCGTCGAAGAAGACCTGGGTCTTTCGCAAGATGTGCTTGAGCTCGGTCAGCTCCAGAAAGTTACGCTTAAGCGCCTCCGCATTCTGATTCACTTCCCGCAGTTCGTTCTCCAGTTTCTCAAAGGTAGCCTCCAGATCGATCATCTCTCGAGGCTGCGGAGCCTCCGGGTTCTCCCCGGTGTCCAACATCGGAATGCCATCCTTCTTGATCTCCTTCTCCAAGTAGCGCAACTTGCGCTCCATCTCGTCGCAACGACGTACCTCGTTGACGAACTTCCGTTGAAAAGCATTGACATCGGGATTTAACTAAAATAATAGATAGAATGTATATACTGTTTCAATGACGAGGGCATCGATATAACAAGACAAAAACATAATGACAGCGAAATAGAGATAAGAGCCGACAAACGGTCTAAAAAAATTATTAGGCTGGCTCGCTAAAATATAAGAAAAAAAAACGATAAAATCTTGAAAAACGCGATTGTACTCACGTCACGAAACTGCACCAGACCGAGCTCGCCGAGTTCGGAGACGCAAGCATACGCGGCCTCGCTCTGGAGAAACAGCTGACACAAAGTCATCTCCTCGCTGCGAAAGAGCGAGCCCATTTTTATGGTTGGAAATAACCGGCCGCAACAATCAAGATTTTATTCCAGAAAACTTGAAGCTGACTCGAAGTGACACTTTGTTCACTTTATCGGCCTCTCCCTGTGAAATTGCGTGGCCGTGATAGTCGTGATACCGTGTGATACCGTAATTAGTCGCGGCGGCAGACCAATCGATCAATCACGAGGTGCGCGAGCGCAAGTCACATGGTATATAGGAGTGACCTCGCTACACCCATCTGACCGATCTGAGTGATTTGACAAGTGACGGCTGACCCATCGCGAATTTGCGAGTGCCATTTAAAGGAGCGCCCTCTGGTGAGGTGTAGACAAATCACTCTAAGGCCGGGAGCACATGAAATGCATAAGAAAGCATCTGCACAGCATATAAGCACAGTTCAGTAAATCCACTTCGTGTCGGCACCTTTGATCTCCTTTCCGGATCACGTGAACATCCATCATGTTAAATCTAGAGTCCTAGATTATAAGAGAAGCGCGACCGGTGTTATAAGCAAGGTGTAAAGGAGCCAATTAAGAATGCGTGGTACATAAAAAGAGATAGAAAACGAGATGCCCCTTTGAGTATATAGACATGGAGGGGGAATGTTGGCTCGAAAACTGTGTCCAAGATGTGTGCGAGAGAGAAAGGTAGACGAGTAATGTTCGTCCTCTCTGCGCATGCGTCGATTA